TCTTTAAGGAATTTACTGGAAACACAGACCGAGACACTGTGGTGTATCATGTACTAAATCCACCAATCAGAGCACGTTATATCCGATTTCGACCAGTGGCTTGGAAAGAATGGATAGCAATGCGAGTGGAGCTTTATGACTGTCTCCAAGGTACTGAAAAAGTCTTCATCAGTCATTATAAAAACCTTAAGTATCCAAGGTATATTAGATGTAAAGCATTTTATTTATAACAAGAGAACTGGGGATGAAGAGTAAGAGATTTAATTCCTCATATAGGCCTTCTTGTCAAGGTAACACCTCCCAAGTTATTTTCAGATATAGTGCCAAGTTCTTCATAATTTCACGAGAATACAATTTGATACCAATTTGTAATTTCGCATATGAAATTTCGCCGAAATTTCGCGTCAAACTTAAGGAGTAATTTGTTACCTATAATATTTCATGTATAATAAAATACATGTTCAAGGGTGACCTTAATTGCCATTTCACGAATACAATTTGATAGCAGCTTATAATTTCTAAAATTAAATTTCGCGCCAAACATAATTGTTACCCACGATATAGACCCTTTTCATAAATGGCTGCCAATTATAAATTCTTTTGTAAGTATTAAAATTAGCCTGACTAACCTCGTTTTTGAGTTGCTAATTCAAAAGAATTTTTACTCCCAAACGAGTTTAGTGAGGCTAATTTAAATGTGTACAAAAGAATTTTAAATTGCCAGCCATTTATGAAAAGGGTCTATTATATGTCGAATAAAATACATGTTCAAGGGTGACCTTGCCAGCAGGGGGTAGTGTCTCTTACTTCCTAGAAGACGTCTGCACTCAGGTTAACAGCAACCTAAAATTCGTTTTAAATAACATTACTTTTGCATAGAAATCGTGGACTTTTGGTTCAGCAATGCTGTCGGTATAAGCAGTCCTGATGTCATCCCTGATGATCACATGACAGCTTCGTCTCATTTTGACAATGCTTACCAGCCCGCCCACGGTCGGCTTCTTGGTATCAGAGGCGGTGCATGGTGTGCGAAAACACCTAATAGCAAAGACGACTGGCTTCAAGTTGATCTTGCGAAAACATTTCGAGTGAGTGCTGTTGCTACTCAGGGAGATGGAAATGGAAAAGGAGGGGTAACAGTCTTTAAGCTCTCTTATTCAATCGATGGGACCAACTGGAAACTTTATCAGGATCGAAATGGCACTGACTGGGTGAGATACATGGGTTATCGTCCAAGTGCAGGGTCAAGATGACTGGATCTTGGCCAACAACAACAACTTTATTTGTACTCAGCTAGAAATTAAATGAACAAGAAATTAAATGAACCACGATGGCCAAGTTTCGCTTTGCGCGTAAATCGACCACGATGCAGTAGAAGTCCAGGAACGAACAAAAGAAAAGAACGAGGCCAATATCCAGTCATCTTTACGGATCAGACTGATTAGTAAAGAACTTAATAAGAAATAACACGCAAACTGCGGTGATAAACAGGGCAATAAAACGCATGTTAAAAAACAAAGTTCATTTACTTGACGTTTCGTATGTTTCAACATACATCTTCAGAAGTGACCGTTAGGAATAGAAGTAACAACTAAATTTCAGTTTAAAATAAGTAACTAATTAACAATTACAATGACAGAAGCTGAGAAACAATGGCATATAAACAATGCAAACTAATAAAGATAAAGCTTTTCGCTGCTTACATTATCATTTAGGGTGGGTTTTAATTCCCTGATTAGCAGAGTCTCTTTTATNATACATCTTCAGAAGTGACCGTTAGGAATAGAAGTAACAACTAAATTTCAGTTTAAAATAAGTAACTAATTAACAATTACAATGACAGAAGCTGAGAAACAATGGCATATAAACAATGCAAACTAATAAAGATAAAGCTTTTCGCTGCTTACATTATCATTTAGGGTGGGTTTTAATTCCCTGATTAGCAGAGTCTCTTTTATCTTGCAATGTGTGACTGTCCGACCTTTTGCTAATATATCAAAGTGGTCCCATTTGAAGTTGTGACCAGTTGACGTGACGTGGTCTGCAATAGCAGAAGCATGAAAGCTACTCGTGATCGATTTAAAATGTGCGATTTAAAATGTGATCGATTTAAAGAACTTTTTGCGAGAAAACGGTGGGTAATCCCAAACTGGTAAGATGGTCCTATTTAGCCAATCACAGTGCAGGATTTGGTTCATCTTGTACGCTCGCCGAGCCAGCCATACTATAGAACATTTTATCGTTGTGAGACGTACAACAGGAATAACAAATGAAATATGTAATACATCAAACACGAAAGAGTGTCTTTGATCACATTTCCAAAATCGAGAAGAGACACTGAGACCTCGAGGTGTTTTGAAATGTGATCAAACACGGTCTGACATATCTTCTCAATCGAAACTACATCTAAGGGGAAAACGGAGAAATAAAATCGTAAAAATCTATGCTAATTTTAAGATCAGACAAGATCATGATTTGTTTGAATATATTTGTGAAAATGTACTATTAAAAAACATCGTATGAAGACATGTCTGATCATCACGGTTATATACAAATTAAACAGCTGTGAAATTAAAGCCTTGAAAAATTCAGGCTTAAAAGGGATTCGTAGCCATGACCTTTTCGATACCGGTAGTGTGCTCTGCAAAAATGTTTTTCAGGTTTTAATTTCACAGCTGTTTAAGTTGTGGATATAACTGCGATGATCAATCATCACTTTATGCCTTTCTTTGCAGTTCAAATATACGATCTTTCAGATTTTCACTTGAAAAATCAATATGTTATCTATTTGAAGGAATTTCATAGGCAAGTTACCAATGACACAATTGACAGACAGAAGTTCCAGGTAGCAGTGTCTGCAAGATACATTCGCTTTCATCCAATTCAGCAACACGACTGGAACTGTCTTAGAGTCGAGTCCTACATCATCGAGAGTAAGTTTTCATATTTATTTCATTCTCTTCCATCACGACGCTTTTGATGCATTTTGCTCTAGATCAATTCTCGCCTTGCGCGTTTTTAAATAAGGCAGTAAAATTCACACCCAAGATGACGATATTAGGAAATATAAGGAGAGCGATGTCAGAGTTTGATAAGGTCTGACAGCCGTTTCTATGAGATATCAAATAAATGTGGATTCATTACTCATTACACTAACTCAATGACTTCAGTGTACTTATAAAGTAAGTTTTAACCTGTTTGTATCTGTAAGAAAATTCTCGATTACGATTGGTTCTCCACGCCCCTATTTGTCTCGTAATCAGTTGGCGCACAAGAGGTGATCCAAGTTGGATATCCAATTTGTAAATGGATACCTGAAATTGAACACCAACGCCATCGATTCGCACACAATCACGTACACCTTAAGCCACTTTAATGGCTCCCTTCTCGATATTTTCAAGAAAATTAAGGTCTAAGGCTAAACGTTTTTGATGTTCAGAAGGTTTCCGGTCCAAGATATTCTCAAAATATTTGAAAGTTTGAGAACTGGATGGTATCAGTGAATGATTCTAAAGCGCTTGTAGCCTGCGTCTTTGTTGTATAGAAAATGGCAATGCTCTTCCCAAATTACATTTACGCAAAGAATGATTTTGTTGTTTCATGTTGTTTTGTTGTTCATATATTTGTTTTTTCTCATAATTTTTAACTCAAATTTCTTCCTTGCGAAATTTCTGAGCATGTTTGTAACTTCATGGCCTTTCTAGATTGTTGCCAGTCTTTTTTTTTTAGCGAAATTCAGCANCCCCCCCCCCCCACTCTTCCATACTTCCCTTTTGAGTGTAAGAGACCCCCGGAAGAGACCCTAAGAGAAAAGGTCGGTTGCCAGCTGTCTATGGCCTTTCCTAACTTCAACGTCCTCATGACAATGTAGCACTTGTTATTTCCCTGTATTTAAACGTCATATTAACGTTGTGTTTCTATTTGTATTTGTGCGATATACTTCTAATATTATATTTAGAATGTCAAGAAGCTCTCGGGATGGAAACTGGCATCATCTCTGACGGACAGATCAGCGCTTCTTCGGAAGCCAGTGCCATTTATGCTGCTATCCAAGGGAGATTACACTTTCAAGAAACCGTAGACATAGCAGGTGGCTGGGCAGCTGCCACAAACGATGCCAATCAATGGCTTCAGGTCGACCTGGGTAGACAGCTAGCGAAAGTGACACGCGTAGCAACACAAGGAAGAAATGGCCCTTACATACAGTTGGTCACAAAGTACAAGTTACAGTACAGTAACGACGGAGTGAATTTCCAGAATTACACCGAGCAAAAACAAAACATAGATAAGGTATTAAACGTCCGTTTTTAGACGGTTGTAAAGTATTTGGGGAGCAATGATGGCGCAGTGGTGAGAGCGCTCGCCTGCTACTAATGTGGCCCGGGTTCGATTCCGGCCCGGTGCCATATGTGGGTTGAGTTTGTTGTTGGTTGTCGCCTAGATCCGAGGGTTTTTCTCCAGATACCCCAGTTTTCCTTCTTCGTCCACAAGACCAACATTTTCAAATTCCAATTCGACCAGGATAGAGGACCCGCGTGGAAATCATGTAAGGCTGATGTGGCTTCCTCTCCACTTCAAAAATTATGACTGCCTGTCTGTGAAGTTTTAATTACAAACTTTTTGGCTACTAAATTTATTTCCAAATTGGAACTTTCTTCTATTATTGATCTAGCTGAAGGTTAATTTGAGAAATAAGATTAAACTGGGGTGTCTTTGACAATTTGCCGTCTCATTCTGTACTAAGGATCTTACTGGAAACACAGACCAGGATACTGTTGTTTACCACGTACTAAATCCACCAATCAGAGCGCGTTACATCCGGTTTCGTCCAGTGGCTTGGTATGGCTGGATATCAATGAGAGTGGAACTCTATGGCTGTCTACAAGGTATTGGGATTGTG